TTATTTGTGAACAAAACATGTATATATCATTGCCCTGAAGCTAACCATGTCCATAGTTTCCATTAATTTTGTTTGAGCTTAGAGAATTTTGAGACTAAAATTTATGAGATTTTTAGGGTTCAGATTAGGGCCATTAAAATTCATGCTTATCTTTGATCTATAGTTTTAATGCTTTACATTTCTGAAACCGTGAGCAAATTTTCTACAAGTTTCATGTTTACAGTTTTCATTTTTGATGTGAAATGAGCAAGTTATAGTTGATCTGGCTGGAGGTTGAAGATGAAGTAGTCAGGGCGCGTTTTGTATCATATACTTATTGTTTTGCTTATGTTAACGGAAGTATAGCCACCCCAGTGGTAGAAGCGCGCGCCTGTAACCTTTGGGACCTGGGTTCGAGCCCCAGTGGTACCCTTTGCTTTCTAACCCCCTGTAGACTATTTGCGCCCCCTGGCCCATTTTATTTTATTTTCTTATTTTTATTTCATTTATTTTCTTGAATATTCCTAATATTGAAAAATCATAAAAAAATACAAAAAAAATAATAGATTTATATTTTGACTTAGTTTATTTTATTTTTCTCACAAAATATTTTATTTAACTATATTTTATTTATTTTTACTAACTAGTCTTGTAAATTTAATTTAAAACTAGGTTATTATTTTCTTTTACACCAATTAAAATATATCATTTTAATATTAAAAAAGGCCAAAAATATTTTATAATACTATAAATATTTTCAAGACAAAAATACCAAAAAAATACGTTTTCTAAACTTATTTTCTTTAATCAATTAATGAATTAGGGTTTTATTAATTTTCTTAGTGAATTAAGTTTACTTTTAAGTTTAATTAATTATTTTCTTTAATTAATTATATTAAGACAAAATCTCTTTTCTCTAAAAAATTCAAACAAATATCCATTTACTTCACATTTTGCATTTTTGTACATTTATTCATTTTGTACATTGTATTCATTTAATTCCTTGTACATTGATACCAATTCAATATGGTTGTAATAGACTAACTAGGTTTACATTCTTGCAATCCCCATTCAATTTGTACACCCCCTCCCACAAATGTTGTAATAGCGTAGTAACTTTAAATTCCGCAATTTATCGCTTTTATATACAAATGCTGGTCATTAGGGTTTGTATGGAAAGACTAAAACCAATACTTAGAAAACCCTAATTCAAGACAAAAACAAGCATGAAAACAATACACTTGCACACAAGCAAATACAAGATCATAGTCCCTCGATGACGCTATCTAAGTTGCCTTTCAAATGATCTTAGTCTCTAAAAAATAATGCTAAGATACCTTGCAACATTGCTAATCATGATAATACGATGACCCACGCCCGTCCCGTTTACATCCAAAGATAGGGTTACTTACCAAATCAATGGTAAGATAACAATGTAAAAGGAAAAGGAAAATGAACAAGAAAGACTTTTGAGTAGGTAGAATGCTCTTAATTACTTGCTCAATTTCAAAACAAAACATCCTTGCTATTTTCAAAACGAACACCAACACTTTCAAAAACATCTTTCAAACTTGAAAACATTTTCAAAAGATCAAACACTTTGTATACATTCTTACGAACGAGAATCATTACAAAGTTTGCCTAAACAATGGCCTCTTTACAAAATACTTTCAAAAACCACACAAAGCATAATTTCAAACAAAAGCAAGTGATCTAGAAAGTAACTAAGAGCCCATGGAAAACCATGGATGAAAAGGATGCTAATACCTTCCCTTTTCATAATCTACCCCCGAACTCAAGAAACAATCTCAAAGGTTTTTCCTGTGCTTTTTCATCTTTCCTTTTGAATAAAAGAAAAGTCGGTGGCGACTCTTGCTAACCACAACATTTGCTATCAAACGCAAAACACCCAAGTCAGTTCTCCCACCGTATTACACATGGGCTGGAGAGAGAGAAAGTGTAGCTTAGACCGAAGACAAGTCACCCGATCCCGAAGTAGGAGCGACCCCCGAACCAGTCTGAGCATCCTTTTGAGCCTTCCTCGCTCTAGCAACAAGAGTCTTGGCTATGCGCTCCTGGGTGGGATTCGTGTTATCTGCAAAACAAACAAAAAGAAACATAGTTAGAAAACGAGGATTCGAATAAGCGACGGCCGCATACAACTATTCAAAACATAAATACCTAGATACTTGACGGGATCCTCGCTCCCGAGGAGCTCTTTAACGATTATAAGACCCGACTCATAAACAGCCTCCCCGCTCTTGTCGATCACCAGCTTGCCTCCCTGGCCCACTCGCTGGACACGAGGGATCCGAGCCACGAAAGTAGTCAAGAGGCCAAAGCTCTCTAGGTCATCGACTCCGAGCTCCCCTTCCATCCAGATGTAGGAACCCAATTCACTTTCGAAGTGTTTCCTCGTCCACTGGAACGGGAACTTGTAAACCAGTTTTACCACGGGGTCTCCTTCATTCAAATGGGAAGTACCATCCTCGTTATGCACTGGTACGGTCCTAAATACATTCAGCATCTCCTTGCTCGAAGAAGGCCGCACCAGTACATATTTGTCCTTGAAGTGACGAACAGACTCCAGATAAGCTTTAAACAGCTTTCCGTTGCCTTGCTTCAACGCGACCCATCCCTATTTGCCATCAATTTTGCTCCTCTGGAGATGAAAGCAGTAGAAGAACAAGGGAATGGTGGCCCCTATCTTTAAGTAATCACAAACTATCTCAAATGCTCGCATGAACGCGATGTCGTTCAGATAAAGTTGGGAAGGAGCCAGTCGCAGATGCCTGAATACAGCCACCTCAAAATCCGAGAAGGGGAGCCGGAGACCCATTTCCCAAAACACGATGTCGTACATGGGAATTCGCCTTCTGTCGTATTTCGAGCAGATCCTATTGTCTTTCCCGATAATATATAACGACCACTCTCCCTGGTTTCCTTCCTCGTGAGTGTACACCTCAGTAAAAACGTCATACCGGTGCTCGAAGAAATAAGAAGGCCAGTCCCAGGGATCGTTCGCGACCCAAGCCCGTAGATCCTCCTCGTCCCTGGGGGAAAACAAGCAACCTTGATCAGCGGAGGCCATCTTCATGTTGCCTCCCCCCACTTGTTGTTCCGACTGATTCAGTTCGTCCCCGGAAATTTCCAGAATGCTCGACGAGTTACTCGCCTCGTCCGAAGAACTTCTTGAAGATCCAAAAGACTCGCTCAGATATCAACCCGGGCGTTGTCGGTCATAGTACCTGAAAAGTAGAGGATGAAGATGAGTCCGACATCAATGCCAGAACCACCATTCCACTGCTAATCAAGTGAAAGGACGCTGGGAAACAAGGATCGTGTCCTCGACCAGAACCCTCACTAAGGCGCATAAATGAGCAGAAGTTCGAGATAGAGCCCTAGGCCCTAAAGGACTATCTACGGCGCATCAAGAAATGGCCAGGGGAGGATTCACGGCGACTCCGATGATTCTAAACTACAGAACCACCGCCTACCACTAACACTCCCCAAGGGCGCCCTAATAGAAAGAATGCTAAACCCTAGCCACATGCATTTCTAGGAAGAGAATCACGAAAATCTGAACTAAGGAAAGCAAACGACAACAAGAAACTGAAATCTTACCAGTTGAAGAAGAAGAACAGTTGGAAGTAGCAGCAGCGAGCAGCAAATCTCAAGAAACGACGGTGGTCGACAGTCGAGCGATTATGAGCAGTTGGGAGAAAGAACGAAAAATACTAAACTCCCCACTCCTCTTGTATTGATAACTGAGATCATACGCGCCTGGGAAACTCTAGGGTCGTCATCATTGCACCCTAGCCCCTAGGTCATCATTGCGTCGCTTCGCCAGCGCGCTACCCGAAACACGCTACCTCTTCAAGTTCAAGGCTCCTAACGACCAACTCCTCATCTCCCCACGAGAAAGGCACAACGAGAGACACTCATTCTCCCTGTAAGACGCACCTCATTCCATGAGCAGGTGTTAAAGTCATCACTCATGTGCCCAGAAGCAACGACTTGGATGGTTACTGTTCTGGACTGGCCCGACAGCTAAAATGGGCTCAGTCTAGCCTTTTCTTTCGGGTCGGTCCATACGTCCATGGCCCGAACCGCCCCCATTTCCTGCCGGGCAATATCGACCATTTGACCTCCCGGACTGGCGCTGGCCTAAGATGATCGACAAGCACCTCTCAGTCTGCCCGACCTTAAGTCGTGCAGACGACCAGGAACCGACCAGAGTGATGCCCGTAACTTGCCTCCTCCTCGGAACCAACGACTAGTTACGGACACATCTGCCCGGTTTGACCAAGTCCTGGCAGTTACCTGTTTATGCGGTCCCGCATATCCAGGCCCAAAAACAGGAACCAATGGCCATGTGTCAGGGGCATTATATATACCCACACACTTGTGAGGGCCAGGTATCAAATATTCACTATTCACCACCAATACCTTAATACTTTGCTTGTATCTCCTTGTTCCCACTCTTACTTGATCGTCAGAGTGCCTTGCAGGTACAACCCCCTTTTCATCTCCTCGACATCACATCCCGACTACAGATCATCACCTGACCACCTTGTAGGTTCTGATCAACCGGTAAGATTAGAGATATCTTCAAATCAAACACCATCATCAGAGAATATCACTTGATTCGAAAGAATAACTTAAACAAATGTCTCGTACATCTTTAATCGATTGAATGTGTTGTTGTCTTCACAAGAACTTCAAAGGATGTTAGGAGACATCCATGAGTAATTCTACCTAACTTAATATCTGAATGAAAAGTACTCTAATAAAGAATAGTGAATAATGATCAACATATGAATACATTTGCACTCTACTTTTGCTTTTAAAAAACATTTTTTTAATAATTTTTTGACTTAATTTATACTCTCCTTAAAACAAATATAAGAATATAATTATCTTAATGAATATGAAATATTATAAAACGGAAAGATCATGACTAGTAGTGCATATGCTTTCTCGTGCAAGCTAAGCAAACAAGAATCGAAAGAAGAAAAAAAATGGCAGCAGAAAATGAGGTGATCGGTGTTCATTCCGTTGAATCAAGGAAGGAACTGATCCAGAAGGGAACTGAATCCAAAAAACTGGTAATCACTCATGAAAATACTATCAAACTTTACCTTATTCTTCAATTATATATGAGTGTTTATGAAATTGTTCAATCATTTTTTTTGAAAATATTTTACATGAATCAAAGTGGATAGTATGAGTTTTTTCGAGATCACCACAAACAATTGTGATTATGCCTTATGCATTTGGATAAACATCTTATTTGCAGTTTTTCAATATAAGTGTTTATTCATAAGCTTAGATAAATTATTGTCATACCAAATTGTATGAAAATAAGTTGAAAAAGGCTTATAAAAAATATCACTAGGTGTTTTCAGAAATTCTCTAAAATAATTTATGTTCATGGATAAATTTATACAAGTTAATCCAAACAAATCTATAGTATAAGTTCAAGAATTTGAATATTGTAGTTTATGACTATTCAAAATTATGCCATAATTGGTTTATATATATGCTATAGATTGTGGTGGATTTTACTGCATTGTAGTGCGGTCCGTGTCGTTTTATTGCTCCAATTCTAGCAGAGATTGCTAAGAAGACACCTGAAGTCATCTTCCTCAAGGTGGACATTGACGAATTAAAGGTATAAATCTTAATCTATGTTACCTCATTCTTTTTTTTAAGTTTAATGCACATGATTGAAATCGCGTTGAGTTTTATAAAATCATTGTGACAACGTGATTCTCTCAAACTAAGTCTTGTTAAAATCACACCAGCACATCGTGATTCTGTCAAACTCGGAGCTAGTCAGGAATATAACACAATCAAATTTTACCATATTTTTTGGCATCTTATGAATCTATGATCATACTATATTAACATTGGTTGAAACATGTGTACTATTTCAGAGTGTTGCAGAGGAATGGTCTGTCGAGGCTATGCCAACCTTCTTATTCTTGAAAGAAGGCAAGGAAGTGGATAAGGTAGTTGGTGCTAAGAAGGAAGAGCTGCAGCTGGCAATAACCAAGCATGCAACAGCTGTTGCTACTGCTTAAAGTATCATATCAAGATCATCAATAATACAGTTAATAACATTTTCGTTTCGGTTTGCGTGTTCTTAGTTATGCTTGAAAATAAATTGTGGCATTATTGGCCTACTCCATATGACTATTATTGACTAAAAAGATATTTTGTATGAAAATGCCATAATTGGTTGATGGCTGTTGGCACCTAATATATGTTGATGAAAATGGTCCCTTCTGGTTGATGATTATTGATAACAACTAAGAAAATAGATATATTGATTATTGAGCATACCAACCATCTAAATAATTGCATTTCTAGATAGATAGATTCATAGATATTACATGAATAATGCATAGAAAGCACTAACATTTCTGAATTTTGTAGTTTTCTCTCTTTCAAGTAAATAAAAATTGACACTCAAGTTCAAAGAATAAATTAAGAATGAACTTGGTCACACGCCTTTTGTGTAATGCCAATAGAAGCTATATAGAAATTTCACACCTGCATTTTTTTTATTCTTCATAAATATGGCCCCTTTGTATGTAGTCCTGTTGATCGCCGTGTGGCTTCTCATACTCGTGTTGTATTAGTCATTAAATTTGATTCACTAGTTCTTGGAGTATGTATTATCCTCTTTACCAGAGATATTTTCCAAGGATTCCCACCTAATTCCTCGAAAACTACCATCAAATTCTTTGTCGGCTTTAACCATGATCTTGGAACATGGTACCTGTGAAATCGAAGTAGTCAGTTGCATTTTCCTAGAGATAACGAAGTCATATTGAAGTTTAGAGAAAAGTAGTATCATACCATCGTTGAGTAGGTTGTCCACAACCAAGTTGACATTTCGCCTGACGATACGTTCCGGCATAGTTACAAGAATTGCAGTTACCTTTTGCATAAACCATCCAATATCTTCCTATGCTTTGTCCATTGATCCATACTTGACCCTTTCCCATGCTGCTCATGTCCAATGCCAATGGTTCATTCCCATTAGGTGCATTGAAATAGGCCTGAAAGTTTCAAATTAGATTCGAAGCTTTTCGTTATAGACTTCAATAGATGTTATAGTAATGTAAACCAGTAACTAACTGTTAATGTTATTACCTTGTGCCATTTCAACTGTGGCTGGTTTTGAGAAGCTAATGACTCTCTCATCCAATCAACAGATGATACACCATTGGGAGACACCAAATTCATCGCTTCTCCTTTTAGGCCGACCTGGTATGACCATTTCTGCCATGTCAAATCTTTCTGTCCGTGGTCGAGACCTTTGAGCAAAACTGGACCGGTGATTCCTGTCTTCCATGATTCATAATGGATTCCACCATTCTACGGAAAAAGAAAAAGAAGGCAAAAGAAATGAAAAACTAGCATAGTGATGATTCGAGTACAACTTGGAGTAACAAGCAAGGTACTAACGGGTAATCCAACAGCTACACTGAGAAGTGCTATTTTATTAGTTCCAGCACGTAGGTCGACAGGGCTGTCAAACGTGCAACTTCTTTGCTCTCTTGTCCCGAAAGCTGAGCCTGCAAAAGGAAATAGGAATCTGTCTCGATTATTTGAAATTGATCGAATGAGAAAAGTTGATTACACAACAAGTATAAGATACTATACATGCCTGCAAATTTTCCATTGATAAACACATGAACGGCATCACCAGAGGAACGCACACTAATGCTAGGCTTGTTCCTTCCACGAAGAAATGATTCCGATGAACTTATGTCAACACTGGCACGAAAAACAGAAAACAGTGAGATTTCAACTGCATCGAACTAAAAAGGTAAAAGAAAAAAGTTTGATGACGAAGAAATTCACTAACCTGGTTATGTACCAAAGATAGTCACTAGTGTCTCTGGTAGCACTTATCTGATCTAGAAGTCCAGAAGCTGTTATTCTGGCACTTTCCGCGAGCGACGATACATCTTCGTCATAGGTCTCCCATGAGAGCAACTTCGAATTACTAGGGAACATTTGTATTTGTGACGGTTGAAACCTCACCTTCATGAAACCATAACAATCCAATCATCAATAACTTGATGCAAAAGACAATGCTAATAATAAGAAAAAATATTTTGATATTCTTACTCTTGCAGTGTTAAATACATCTGTTCTACAATCAGGAAGAATGCTTATGGACCAAGGAGGCAAATCATAGTGCCGATTATTGAATGTCACTCTTGCAGCCGAATTCGAATGATAGTTTGCTAGAAAAGCTGCACACGTTGTTCCTGAAGAGAATACATGTGCCTGTTCATATGTTCCTAATGATGTAACAGTAGGATCCGAAGAAACCAAAGCATGTTCACATTGCTTGATAGCTTGATGAAGATCCTTCAAATGACCATATTTAGGTTCTCTTAACAAACCTGAAATCAGTTTTAAGCACTCGATTAAAATTTGCGAATGACCATATTTAAGTTGTTTTGAAAGTATGATTAATCATCTAACCGTATTCATCAATTGGAGCATCATAATCATAGCTCGTAGTTATGAATGGTCCTCCAGCTGATCGTCCGAAGTTAGTTCCTCCGTGATACTATCGTTATCAATAATCACGATTAATACTCGTAGTTAGTACATTAACAAAGCATATGTTTTCTTTAACTGAGAAAAAAGCAGGTAACTTACCATGTAATAATTAAAAAATGAACCACCCGTTTGTAAGAAACGAGCAACCGCGAACGCTAGATCCTGAACCGGTCGCTGAGGAACTGGTCCACCGAATTCTGAAAACCTGAGAAAAGAAGAACAAAAGGGTTAAAAATTAAGACAAATGTGTCCAATTTTTCGCAACCGAATTTTTAAACATGAACAATGTTATATATAACTTACCAGCCAGTCCAAGACTCAGTCCATAGTTTAGGCTTGTATGGTTTATTGGGAGAGAAATAATCACAGTAAAAACCATTGCAAGTATTTATCTGTAAGAAAGTATAAGACGAATCATACTCGACTCTTAACTAAAAAGGTAACCATAATCGACGGTGAGTCTGACAGAATCACGGTGACTTCATTTCATCAAAAGTTACAATGTGCTTTTGTCAAACTCACCATAAATCAGACAATATCACGAGAAGGGTCACTCACCACTGGATCTGGAGCATCATCTTCCTTACACATCACCCAAGGGACACCTGTACCTAACCCAACAGCCATCTTTGCAGCCCAATTTGAGTATGCATGACCAGAAGCTCCGAGTACTCTTCCTTGCGGTCCATACTCATTCTCAATCTACAAAGTTAAGATATTATCATCAATTCCATAGTGTTAGATCCATTCTTTCTTGATCTTTCACAACATGTAGGAGACAATTTTCGAACCAAAATGTCAAACATGAAAGTAACAACTTACCTGAGAAAGAATAATTGGTCCACCTTGAGATTGAAACAACTTTTCATTCTTCATCATCTGAACAATCTTCTGAGTAAAACCTTGCATTGCAGCCTTAAAAAAAAGAAGCACTTTTTAAGCAACAAAGTTTCAATATTTCTTTAGTGAAACAAAACTATTCAAAATTGAACTCAACCTTAAAAGGACCATTATCTGTTCTGAAACTGATCCCAGGAACATATTTCAACCAAACAGGAAAACCTCTACATAAACCAAAAAAAAAAAAAAAAACATCATTGTAAATCAGAAACAAAAAAAAAACTACATTAAGAAACAAAACATTAAATGTTTGAAGTTGCATTATTGCATATTATCATACCCAAAATTCCATTCAGCACATACATAAGGACCAATCCTAAGATGTACATAAAGACCCACTTTCTGAACAGTCTTAATGAACTGTACCAGATCGTACCTTCCTTCAAAATTGTACTGCAACACAAAACATCATTAAAATCACAAACAAAAAATGTAACAAGAATTAAGAATAAAAAAAAAAAAGATCCATTTAGAGAATATAGAAACTTAATCAAAACAAGATCCAGATTCCAGAATAGTACATTACTAGGAGAAGGTTCATGAACATTCCAAAACACGTAAGTATCAATAACATCCAACCCTCCATCTTTTGCTTTCTGAATCAGATCTTCCCACATCTATACACAAAAAGCAACAACACACATTACAAAAAGCACTCATTTTTTTCTAGAAAGAGAAAGATAGAGAGAGAGTATACTTCAGGGGTGCTTCTTGGGTAATGAATGGAACCAGAAATAAGGATTCTTCTTTGTCCATTAATGATGATAGCTTTTCTATCATATGTAACACTAGAGTGAACAAAGTGAGAACCAAGAAAGAAGAAAGTGAAGAACAGTAAAAGAAGAAACTTGGAAACTGAGATGGTTTCCATAGCTTACAACAATGGAGGGAAAGTTTTGAAAAGATGTGAGAAGTTTAGTTTAGCAGAAGAAATAAAAAGAGAGAGAAAGAAACACAATGGGTCATGAATGTGTTCAGTTTTGTTCTGTTATATCTTTGAATCTGATCTAAGGAAGAAAAAAAACACTGTACCTACGACGATGTTGTTGTATTAATGTTTTGTCTGTGATTTTATTTATTTGTTCTAGGAGTAGTAATATTAACTAATGAAAATTCCTTACATGTAGGGTAATTTGAAGTTTATTACTATATTTGTTTTGTTTTGTTTTGTTTTGTTTTGGTATTTGAATATGTGGGAATGAGAGTGAGAAAGTAGTGTATTAAAAGGTTCTTGTTTTTGCTCCTTTTTAATCAGAAGCTACTATTTATTGCTTTAATGTCTTCAACTTTACTTTTACTACATCCACATTTATGTTTAATTTAAGTTTGGTCAAAAATATGAAAAAGAAGTTGAAAGTGGTGTTGTGGAAATCATCATAATTGATTGTTGTGTATATATACAGTTTGATATGCTTTCACTTCAAGTGTTAGTACTTAGTAGTGAGAATTTTCAAATTTGAACTCTTTGATTTTTTATTTTATTTTTGATAAAGTAGGATATGAAAATGAAGAAATTTAATTTGTGATATTTTGATACTGATCTGTACTTTGATTACAAGTTTTCACTTTTGGGGAATTATTTGATATTGTCCTT